TTTATATTATCTATTTTATTTTTACATTCACCGACACCACTTACTCAAAATATATTTATTGTCCTGGGACAAACATAATTTTTAATTAGTTATTTTTGTTTGTAATTTAAACAAATTTTTTTAGAGAAAGCAAATATTGTATTAGAGCTTTAAAAAATTTTTAGTTTTTAAAATTTAAAATTTTTATAATTTTATTTTTTTTATATTTTGATATATACATTATTCGCCAGCTAGAAATTGCACAAAGTCTGGCTCTGAGAAGACTTTGCAAAGTACCATGGTACATTAGTGCGAATGACATCCTCAGGGACCTCAAGATTGATCCGATCAAAAAATACATAAAGGATAGAGCCCTGAAATTATTTATGAAAACTGACAGACTTACCAACACCGCGTTAATGTTTGTCAGAATCTTTCAAAACAGAATAGAACCGAACTGTTTTGAAAGAGTCGAACGTGTGGCACAAGCCATAAATTTTGATCGTTATAATCACGTGACTATTATTAACATCTGTTAGTTTCATATAATATTTGGAAGATATGGATGTGAAAGATAAGTGGTTTTAATAGCAAAGCTAGACGATACGTCTTGTTTTGGCTTTGTTGTGCGAGATATTTTCTGGAATTCTACTAGAAGCAAAAGGCATGACTCATAACAAAACAATTGTATATTTACAAAAATATTTCAAAAATATTAGTGATCAAGTTTTTTTGAATAATTAGTAAACTCCCGCACGAACATCTATCTATCTATCTGTCTATCAGTTATGGTCGATGTAATGCAAGTTAAAATTCATAGAGAAATATTTGTAAACGATCCAGAACCTTATTATGTCTCATAGAATATATTTGAATAAAATTATTTGAAATGAATTCAGACCCAGAAATATCTCTTGGACTATATGGAACTATTATTGTATTTCAAAGTTAATGGCAATTCCCAAACAATATATTAGAGAAGAAGTCTCATCAAAATCTTAATACCAGCCGTCTGTCACTTACGTCTGAAGGTACATTTTTGTTGATATTAAGACTTGTTGAATTTCGAAAGAAACAAAAAATGTTTAAAAATTAATATTTGAATTACATTTTGTGCTATTAAAGAATTTCACAGAACAACAATTCAACTGATTTTCCAAACTTTTTTCCAAAAAAACTTATTTTTAATCTTAAATTCAAACTATCGAAAAGTTTGGCTTATCCTCCGATATTCAAAGTTTTGCATCAGTACTAGGTTTTCAACCTAGTATTAAGACTAGTAGTTGTAGCAAAGCCTGTACTTAAATATAACTTCATTGTGGTATTTCTAATAGATATTGTGAATATACCAGACCTGAAGAACCGCAAAAAAAGAGAAAAAAAAATCTTTATGTAAATATAAAAATTTCAGATACTTTGATGTTTTATTCTAGCTAAAACTAAATTTTTTATTAAAACTTTCGTATCATTAAAGTATAGTATACCTTATTTATACTATATTTAATATACAAAATTTTATTGAATTTTTTAAAATCAAATAGTCCAAAAACTCTGAAAACAATTGATGAATCAACATCTGCAAATATTTTTTATTGGAAGACTTCGTTTAGCTTTTGATTGTGTTTTGTTCCTTAATATGGTTTGTTTTCATTGAAGTCGGTTGTTATTATTTTTATGTTCAGCAGTTGTTTGGGAACTAAATGCATTTATTTTGTACGTGGAACAATGCTGCACCGTTCATCATGGCCGTGCAATATCCTTTGAGGCCACAAGCAAACGTCTGTACTGTCTGCTTTGTTATGCTTTCCCTTGTGTCTGCACTCGACTGTCTGCCATCAAAATTATTTCCATTTTTATTGTGTTTCTTTAATAACAAATAAAATAGTGAACATTTGTTCTGTGGACACTCATGGCTTTGTGGAGTAAACTTTGATGAAAAAACTTGACTTAGCTGCAGGCTAATTTTAAATTTTTAAACAACAGACTAAGCACGTACTTATTTTAATGACATACTAAAATAATACTTATGTGTTTTCATATTAAATTAACACTAACCTTTTTTATTCGTTTTTAAAATATTTTTATAAATTTTATTAATTTTTAAAAGAGGTTTTTTCGACAAGTAGTGAAGTACAACAACAAGTATTCTATATATTATTTTAATTAATTGAATTTTTGGCTGACCATACAGCTATTTCGAGTATTGCCAAATATCCATCAACTGTGGTCTTAGAAATAATTCTTATATTTCATTATTCTTCAATAATTTTTTTTGAGAATGCAAGTACCAGGAATCAAACTCGTGCCCAGCCAAATTTGAAGCTTAGAGTCAGCGCACCTTAAGCAACTGACCCAAAGCCGTATTTGACTTTTATGTTCGCACATTTTTCTGGAGTTTTATTAATTTGTCGTTAAAGTTTTAATAACAAATTCATTTGCTTTGTTTATATTAGAACGAAATCACAAACCAGCTGTAGGATGATTGAATTAATTAATTATAATTAATTAATTAATTGTTAAATTTCAATATTTTCTGTTTGTAGAAGCATTCTTTTTTGCATGATTTATAAATTTTTAAATTAATGTATATGAAAACATTCTATACATTTGAAAGTTTATTAATAATAAAACATAATAATAATAATGAAACAAATTACCTCTTCAATTTGTTAATTTCTACAAATTAATTATTCTTATTTAATAATAAGATAATAATTAATAATAATTCTTATTCAAGATTATTTAAAATTTAATAAATTCTTAAGTATCCGTTTTCGTAGTGATTTAATTTCATGCTGTCATATGCTTCAAATAACAATGAAATTTAAACACAATGAAGTAGAAAGGGAAATGCATTTTCTTTAATGTGATACGAAGATTTATGGCAAAAACTGAAAACTTTTCCCAAAAGTGCAGACAGACGAAATTAAAGCGCGTTGTTGAGGTTGGGAAAGTTTTGCTTTGTTATTTAACTTCAAAAGTTTTTTAAGGAAAAATGTCGAATATTTCTTTATATACTCATTTTCATATTAATTTTCTAAAAGTGAATAAAATATCGTTTAATCTTTATGTATTTAAATATTTTAAGCGTTTTTTCTTAAGACTTTTTTCAAAAATTTGATAGCATTTAGGTAAAGATACTTCGATTTATTATATTCCAATTTGAATTATTAGCAAACTTAAGCATTTATTTTACATATTGTTTATTGCGTAAATAATAGATAACATAAGTATTAGTTTTATACTTATTACATAGATGCAAATATCAATAAATTAAAGTCATGTTAGCTGTTAAGTTAAGGACAGGGAACACTTGTTGACTTAAAGTATTCGCTTGTTCACAAATGCTTGCTTTAATTTTTGCTGGTACTAGAAAAGAAAATTTAATAAATATTTTATACATAAGATTTTTATAAATATTGTTATTAATATTTGTTGTTTAAATAAGTGTAATAATATTAGCGTAATATTCCAAAGAGCACGCACAAAAAAAGTCTGAAAATATTTCAAAGGAAAAATACGCTCGACTTTTTGTTGCACATAAACTTCTTGTATATTTGTCTCTTTATTTATTTTAAATAAAATTTTGTAAATAAAAGAACTACTTTCAATTCAATTCAAGTTCAAATAAATTCAAACAAAATAATAAAAAAATATTTTTTGTTACTGTAAATTATTATTGATTTAAAAGTTTTTTAAGTACTTTTATTTAATTTAATAATAAATTATTTAATTAATTTTAAAAAAAATTTTCTTATATGGCAAGTTATCAACACTCGTACAGGGAAGTGGTTCTTAGTAAACATCCTTTTAATTAAAAAAAATTTATTATTGATAACAGTTATTAAAATATTTTTATAATTTAACTTTAACACTTACAATAATAATCATTACTTATATTGTTTTGCACAAATAGAATTTTATAAATAAACAAAATAACTTGTATTTATATATGCATATATATTTTAATTGAATATATATAAAAAGTTGAGATTGTTTGTGAAGTCCTTTGAAGAATATTTTTGTTATTGTTGAAATCTTAAAAATAATACAATGTAAGAGTCCTTAATTTATAATTTAATTTATTTTATACTATTTCACACAAGCATATACTTTACTTTAAAAAGCTCAAGTGCATGGCAATTTAAAATCGTGATTTATTAAAATTTTTAAAAATTAAATTTAAACTTTTTTTATGAAAATAATAATAAAATAGAAAAAAAATTAAAGCTAATTTAAAACATGTATAATAATATTTATCGAATGTTAAAATTCTCCACTATCTTATAAGTGCACTTATTCTATAAAAATTGCTTTTAATTTTAGCTTTGGTTTAAGTTACTCATCATAATCTTAATGTCATGTTTAATAGTTTTATTATATATGAAATTATTTTTATAAGGAGAATATCTTATATTATTAACTATCTCACAATTAAACTAACTTACAGAAATATAAAATAATAACAATGTTTAAATATACAAAGATTATTTGTGTATGTATTATTTACGTATCTTCCTTTTATGAATCGATGAGGGAAAATATAGTTACAGCTGGTAAGTAGCGAATCTAATTAAATTCTATTAAAAATTTTAATTGTTGAATTTAAAAAAATTAATAATAATTATTATGAAAATGGTTTTTAGAATATGATTGTAATATAAAAAGTATAAAATATTATACATATGAGGCTTTGTTCACTCTTATTTGCATAAGAAATTATTTACATTTCACTACATTTTAAGTGAAGTTTTGATTATATACATATAATAACTTTAAAATTAAATTCAAATTAAAATAGTAATTAATTCAAATAATTTACATATAATTTTGTTTCAAATACGTCATAGCTTTTAAGCTATTGTATATGATTGAATTTAATTGTATTTAATATAAAGGATTTAATTAATTTGAGTGATCTATTTCATATATAATATTCAATTAAATTTAAATATTTACTTCTACTTTTCATTTTAAAAGTACCCTTCGAATATACGAATCATGACCAGCTATCAACTAATATGGATGATAAACAATCCATGGCTAAAAATAATACTCGTCCAGTATCTCCAAAAACGAATAAAAATAAAGAATTTTCTGATTTAACGGAACGAAATGAAGAAGAGGATTTGGAACCACACGAAAGGGCTGCGTCATGTTTTTATGGAGGATCAAAGTATACACATGGACAAAAGGTATAGTGGTTTTTTAATCTCAGCTTTGAGAATTTGTTTTAAGATAAAAATTATAAATTAATTAAAATAATAAATGAATATCAATAGGAGAGAACTTGTTCGGTAACAGTAACAAATTTTATTTAATCAACTGGAAAGATGAAACATTTCAATTTCTATTCAGTTTTAATAAAAAATATTCAATATTGTAAATTGTCAATATCAACTATTGGAAATATAATAAAATAGTTGAATCTCAAAAAGTTTAGATTTTTTGTTGCTGAAAGGATTCTTCAACGAAACTATGTGTGTGTACTTTCAATTTATATTGATATGAAATGTATTGTATTTCTAGACATTGTTGATTTTACATTTCTGATATACCAATGGATATATATGAAAGTATAAATTTAATTTAAAAATTGAATAGGGAAATATATACTTCCTTATTCATACATGACAACATTGAAATTTGAACTGTTAGAAGAGAAAATTCAATCCATTTAAATGAACCATTAAAATAATATAATGATAAAATAAGTAATTATGTTTATTTGTTGATAAAATAATGATTAAATAATAATTTAATTTATTTTATAATATTCTTATACGACTAAAAGACACTTTTAGTCTCATATCTGCAACATTTTTTTTAATTTTTATAAGAAAAATTTACAATTATTAATCATAATGGAACTGCATTCTATTTTGTTTCTTTATTTTTAAATTATATTAAATTTGTTTTAATTAACAAAATTTTACCTTATTTTTTACTTTTAGTTAATACGTCTTGATCCCTGTGAAGTTTGCCTGTGCATAGATGGTGAAATTTTCTGCTGGTGGGAAAACTGCGGTAAATTTTAATAATTAAAAATATTTCTTATATATGAAATTAAACTAATTTATATTAATTTTATACAAACTTTCTTATTTTTTAAAATAAAGTAATTTTTAACAAATTGTGTATACTTAAAAAGATATTTATTATGTTTTTATATTTTTATATTATACATAAAATAAAATAATATAAAATGAAATAAAAAGAAAATGAACTTGAGTTGGACTGTACCCACCTACTCAATCCTCCCCATCCTCTTCGCCCCGCCCCCATCTCCCCCAACCACTACCCACCCATTTCCTCACCCATATAAACGTCTTTTACATGCTTTCATATTATCTGCTTACAAGTCCCAGCGGGTCACAACAACAACAACCTTTATTTAGAAATGGAAGAACTAATTTTTTGAATCGTTTCTATAGATTCAATCATGATAGCTTTTACTAGATTAGCTCGCATATATATTGTTTAGAACTCAGCATATCTCAATACCCATAGCATATATTTGCAATGTAAATATTGTTTTTATAGATCCAATCATGATATCTTTTACTAGATTAGCTCGAATATATTTTATTAGAAACTCAGCTTCTCTCAATACCCACCACAGCATATTGCATTGCATTGTATAATAAGAACAATTTTTTATTCACAGTAACCGAATGAAATAAAATATGTGTGAAGAACCTGAACTACTACTACATAAAGCATTATCCCTAAATATATTTTGGTAGGGGTTGTGTAATTTCCAACTTTTATCTCGGAATATATTATCTGCACAATCAAATATTATGAGTTTCGTTGGAATAAAGAAGCAAATATTTCTATTATTAAAGTATATAATACAAAATGAACAATGTACATTTTACCTTTAATTAAAAAAAGCAAACAAGACAAGTTTTTTTTGGCTTAACCATAACAAACAAAAATTTAACAAAATTAAGCTCGTATCTTTTTTAAACATGTATCATTGTTAAAATGCAATTATAAAATCGATAAGGAATATATAAGACAAATTTATGTATGCCAAATATTCAATAACGTCTAATCTATCACACATTCTACATATTGCATAAAAGATTAATAAAGAGATATAAATTTTTTTATACATATTATTTATTTGCTAATTTCTATTCATGTTTAACTTTATTAATCCATACATTTTTATTTTTAGACAAACATCCGGAAAGATATACCACCGTTTCAAATAATAAAAATATGCAGAAGTCAGAGAAAACATACAAAATCCCCAAATCGCATAAGAGCAAAGCAAAAAAGAAGAAAATTAAAGCAACTTTAGGGGAAGACTTGATAAAATTAGGTAAACCCAGACATGAACTAAAAAGTATGAATAGACATTCAATAATACAATGTAAATATTTTACTGAAGAACATAATCAGAAACACCGGCAACATCACAAACAACATGAACAACATCATAAATATGAGGAAAATCATTTGGCAACATCACCAACATTTAGTAAAATATTAAATTTCCCAGAAAATTTACCTTCAGTACTATATCATGACTACAAATCCGAAGAACATCAGCATCATCAATACCAACATCGTCAGCAACATTTAAAACACCAACTAGTTCAACTACAAATGAGACACCAGCAACAACAACAGTATTTACATGGACAGCATATCAAGTTTGAGGTAACAACGTTGCCGTCAGAACATCCAAGCACGGAAAATGACAACGTCGACATAGAGACAGAAACTGACAGTGATATTTTACCAGAACCTCCAACTAAAAGACCCAAAATGACAGTCACAACAATACCGGCAACAACAGCAACAAAGTCAGCAAATAAAACAATTGCAACAAAAAGGACCTCTAATGTTCATAGCACAAATGATAGCAAGAATTTAGACAATATGACTGCTGTTGACTGTACTCAGGAGGAGAGTGGAAAAACTTGTAGAGTAGCCGGTAGTGCATTTACTCCATACACAACAGCTACAGTTGTTAACGCAACACAGTCAATTGTAAGTAGTTTTATCGATTAAATACTTTAAGAAGGTATTTCCATTTGTGTATTAAAATCTAAAAAAAGAGTCCTGTTGCTTGTAACCGAAATTTGTCACAATTGCAGGCAGTCGTAGAGTATAATTTGTATCTTTTCAAGACCTCAGTATCTATGAAATTTAATAATTTTAGAATGAATAATAACGAAGATTATGAGGAATACTCAAATTAGTCAGTGAGATGGGTGGGACTCTGCACAAACCTCCCAGCCAACATAGAGTAAAAGTGCCCAGATGCACTAACTCGTAAAAGGCTCAACATAAGAACATAAGAAGGATGAATTTAAAATATTTGTTTTACCGAAGTTTGTAACTATTGTCTAAAAGTTATAAATAGTATATGTGATAATTTAAGAAGACCTCAAAATGGGATAGATGACGATTTAACGACCTTTACGAGCTTTTCTTTCATGGTTTGTTATAAAAATTCTTTTAAAATTCATTCGATCAGATTTTTAGTAAATCTTTATAATAATGTAAGACTCTGAGCATAATGATGACTATAGTTGACATATGGATTGCGAATCAGACGTTAATTGTGATGATGAATGACTTTGTATGCTAAGGTAGTTGAGTAACTGAGATGCGTTGTCAGCCGAGGATTGCATTGTATGACGAGATAGATGTATGCTTCGTTAATAGAATAAGACCAAATGATGATTGAGAACTTGGGTGTGTTATTCGAAATGATAATGAGCTACTTTTATACGCTATCTATCTCCACCTATCTACAGCTATTGCTAATGGTTTCTTAACTTTATCTCCGTATCTAGTATTGTCAAATATTTTACACTAACTTCACGACAATCACTTCTAACTAATCGAGTTCCTTATTCTACAACTAATGGAGTTTTCTACACTATCTCCACATTAGTCATTGTCAACTAAAAGAGTTTTCTATAATACGTGCATTTTCACTTCAGCCATTGTTAATTAATAGAGTTTAATACTTGTTAATCAGTTAATAATCAGGTGAATCAGCTGAAGCAGTAGTGGAACGTAGGTTACACCGCTAGAAGTCAGTCTTAAATGACTAATAGGAACCCTACCTCGAGGTAATACTTACGTAGTCATGGGGTATGTCAAAGTCTTTAAGAATAAGGGGGCTGGTTTTAGTCCATGCGAGTCGGGCACTCATTTCCCGGAGATCTGGATTGTGATCAGTACGTAGGCATAACACTTTTTCTTGTTGCAATAAAAAATAATGTGAACGTTGACTCATTAATATAAATGAGTGAGGGCCTAAATGAGACAGTGTGAATGTACTATTAGTATGAGTTGTTAAGAAAACGATATTGTATTTTAATAGTAGTTTATTTGTGGGCAGCAACCTATAGACATCGGCCCTGGTAAGTGTAAAGTGTTGTTGTTTTGCAAGTTTAGTAGACTAAGATTTGTCTTCAGAAGGTTTGATATTCTTTAATTAATATTAAAAACAAAATTATTATCAAAAAGTAATTAAAAGTGTATAAGTAATAATGTGGGCTTATACTTATACTTATGGTGGGACGTTGGGACAGCGCACCGGACAAGAAGTGGCCCCAATGAAGTGAAGGATTAGTCGAAGTAGACCACGAAACTACTTGGGTCCTTTTTCGTCCTTCTAATCTTCTAATCTGTGGGCTTGTTCTACACTTGTTTAAAATTTAAATAAACTTCCTAATATCATTAAAAATCAACTACAACTTTAATTTAAGTTTAATTTTAAATTAAATGAGCTTCTCTTCGTTATGAATGCGACTCTTCTTTGTTTAAGTTGCGAACCAAGCAATTAAAAGAGATTGCAAAGAAGTACTTTTAAGCAATTTTTAAAACTTTTTTCTCATTAAATTCAGGCATTAAAGTTTCAGTTCTAATGGAATAAAACTAGCGCTAGACACAAATGCGATTATATACTGAATGAGAATTAAACTGAAAGAAAATAAATTGTCAACATTTGTGTGAACAAACCTATTAAGATGACAAGTTGAGATTACGCTTTTCTAAGTGCAAAGAAGGGATACATTTAATGTTGAGTTTGGATTTGCAATGCTAAAATCTTCTTGGGAAACCACAGATGCGAAAGAAAGTTAAAAAGTAAATGAGACTCTAAATTTATTTAAATTGTAAAAAAAAGCGGTTAGTCTTAAAAAGTACGGAAATCAACTCAAGTGACTGCGTTTAACTAATATTTCATATATTCGTATATAATAAATAGTTAAAGCAAAAGAAAATAATTTATTAAAACGTTGCTTATATATTCATTTATATTTTTTGTATTTAATTGACATTAAACATAAAATTGTTCAATTTTTAGGAATTATACATACAGAGAAATAGAAGAATACATATATAATAGAGATCAAATAGGAAGAAAATAGTAATACTTTGAAATCTTTATCATATATATTTTATTTGTTAAAAATTTACTATCATTAAAAACATATTTTTTTGTACAACCCACATCGCATCCTGGCTTGGATTAGAATTTGTTTTTCCACATTCTTGAGTGTATTTTTGAGAACCTTCTTATAATTCCTCATATATACGAGTATGTCGCTCCTTTTTTTTTAATGTCAACTATTGATCTAACCGTTTGCTTGCTCTATTAAGATTAAGTAGCTCGTTTTAAGCAAAGAAAATTCGTTACGGATATACATTAGTTCTCCTGCATATATTTTTGTTTTTATACTTTAAAGCTTCTTTAAGGTATGAGCTAGTAAAACGGCGAAAAATACATAATTATGGAGGGCGATAGAATTGCAACAGACTTGTCATTGTAATAAACTAACTCACATCCTAAGTACAGCATATAGTCTCTGTTGTGAATTTAAATCGAATTTCATTATCAGCTCAGGCAATGATGATATTCCATGAATATTTTGTATCTTTTAATTTCAATTATAATCCTTCATCTCTAGATCACGATCGGTGCACCTAGAACCTCATTGTTTTTTGCATCACAAATTTTAATCTTTTGATTAGTATTGCAGTCACAATAATGACATGTTACTTACAGCCCCAAAACTACGTGTTCATTTATCATACATCAGTCCAAGTGCTCTTCTGTCGAAAATTTCAATTTTCTTATTATATTTTCTCTGAAAGTCCCTGTCTCATCAACATACGTTATGCATTTAGTGTTTATTAAAGAAAAAGTTTTATTTCTTAATCGAGATAGATAAGTATTTTGAGCAATTTTTATCACTATATGTAAGAATAATTTAGTTTTCGAGATATCAGGTTTTAAATTTAAAAATTTGTACATGAATGCCGCCAGATGACGCGTTAATTTCTTGAAAAAAAATATATATCAGCATATAGCGTAGGGAAAAAAATTAAGAAAATTAAGAATTAAGAAATAGCCGAGCCGATTAAAATCTGTTGCTAAATCATCCTGAACTAGAAACTGGAATCCCACTAGAGCGTAGTGAAAAAAATTATGAAAAATAGGTGAGTCTTTTTAAATCTGTTGTTAAATCATTGTAAACTGGAAACTGGCATCCCACTAGAGTTAATCTCAAGCTTTTTTGTGCTTTTTTGTTATTGTCTCAATTAAAATTTGAACACAAAATTGTTCAAATTGAAAGAATAGATTGAAAGAATATATTTGATTCCGAGTTTCTGTCTATTGTCGTTTCCAATCTGTTTTACTATTGATAATATACAAGTAAGTACTCTTGTTTTTTCTTCTAGTATTCTAAGACTAACATTATCTACCTGTTTAGTTTTAAATATTTTTTAAATCTTAAATCATATTTTATTTCATATTCCTATGAATATAGAATCATATCTTAAATTATATATTGATTTAAAATATTTTATAGCAAAATTTTCAGAAGACTTTCAAGAATGCAGAATTGTATATTGACAATAAGAATGAAAATAAACAATATGATTATTTGAGCAGTAAAAACAAAAATAATAATTTTATTAACAAAAGAAACGATGAAGTTGAGGATGATGCTTTTCATCGTTGGCTGTCATCCAATGAGACACATTTTATAAACAACAAATACGATGATTTCCATAATGGCAACGGCGTTGAGAAAACGGTTTTTGATTTAAAAGAATTGAAAGTTCTTAATAATACCAACAAAGTGCAAGAAGCGCCATCAACTACAATTATTGTTGGTACCATACCGACTAGAGTAGCGAAGAAAAGTGACAGAGACAAGGAATCAAATAAAAACATATATACAGAGTCGGAAAATGGCTTTCTAGGTACTGCTTACAATGACTATGGAAGCGAATTCAATGACAGCGTGATAAATATTGACATTTTACTAACAGAAGCCGATGAGTCACGACGTGTTGAACAACAGACACAGGAAACGCAAAATTATGAAGATATGCAGAAGGAAATAATAATAGTGGAAGCGGATTTAATTTTACGTCCTTCTGTTGCAGAAACAACGTCGCCAGTTTCGAATGCAATAAGAGCAATGCCAACGAGCCACAACAATAGTTCTCCAATTAATTTAATGTCAACAACAAATGAGGCACCCGTTATTGATACTTCAAATAAATTAATTGCAGATGCACTGAATGTGGTGAATAAAACAGCAGCAACAAATGGATTAAGTCCAGATAAACAGTGCAACGTGATGGGTAAGTATTTTTTGATTCATTGCAACAAATTTTGATGACAAAAAGAACTATTATACTTGATACTTTAATGTAATAAAGACCTAATAATAGTAATTATGTTAAAAGCATCGAGTAACACGTTGACTGTAAATAGATGATAAGAAAAGTATGGCTTCAATTCAAGGCTAGTTGAAAACTTGCTCAATAAAGATAATATCTAGTATGCTTATAGAACTTACAGAATTTCCTTTAATATAGAAGAAATAAAATCCAAATATAAAAATTATAAACATAATAATATTACCAATGAATACAATTGCTTTTAAATATATATAATATTATATTGAACAATAATAGTGTTAATAATTTACTACATTTTTAATCTTACTTTTTAAAAATCATTTATTCACTAATATTATTGAGAAGATTTTTTCATTTGTTTTTAAAGGTATATTTTATCAGATTGGTGATATTTTGCCACAGGATGTTGGAAATTGCCTGCAATGTATTTGCACAGAAAGTTCAATCGGTGATGATACACCTAGTGTAACTTGTAGCCCACATAATTGCCCACCACTTGTGTTGCCAGACTTATTTGAGAACACAGTTTATTGAGATGTTTAAATGAACAGTAAAAGAGTATCAACAGGGTAATTATTAGTTTAAAAAATTAAGAAAAATATAAAGTAATAAATAAAATAATGTATATTGTATTTAAGAAGTGAGAAACATAATAAACTACTGTACTCAAATATATGTATACATTAGACTTAAATTATGAGTCTTCTATCATATTATTATTTTGCAAACAACAACGGTAAACACATGCATTTTGTACAATTTTTACCATTACGTTTTATGCCGATATTGCTCATTCTTAAAAAAAATTTATATGCCATCTAGTGTCAAACACTTTCATGCTACAATTTCCAACTTCAAAGCCCGCTATCTTGACATATGATAGCAAAGAAGCAAAGTTACTCAAATGAACTGTTGTTAAATGGACGTACCAGAGCTGTGCCAAATTTTTGATTATAGTAAAACGACTATAAAATATTTTGTAATAATTGTTTTCTACATTTAAGAATAACGAAATGTTAATGGAGTTAAAGTACTGTTGATATTATTTTATAATATTATTCATATTTCCATTTCCCTGTAGAATTTCCATTCCCATTTCACCTTGTAAACAATACAGAGTTATTCATTTTGTATTTCCGAAACAAAGTATATAAAATGCACTTGCCTTTGAGATACAATTAAATTCTTATTTCAGTATTTTGTTAGGAACACTCTTTGTCCTTAGATGTGAAATACTTGATTCGTTAATCTTGCGTTGGATATCTTACAGTACTGTTTCTGTTTGAGTTGACTATTCGATGATTGTGGGCACATTGATTGCAGTATCTCTACTACAACATGTTGCATTCACTTTCTCAAAGCATTGAGAGTTTGAGCATTGTCCTTATAAACAATGTTTTGTGCAAGCCTACATAAAAGCTTAGTGGCAACAAATCACATAATCATGTTGACCAATACACAACATCGAAACATGAATTAACACATTTGCCAAATTAAGTTGGCTACTGATGCCATTCTGTAGAAGTCACATAAAGTTTTGCATATAGTTTGATTATTGAAATTTGGTGATGGAATTCCATTACCAATTGAATTGATGTCTTATGTATATGTTTTCAATTATTTCTTATTCAAATTCCTATTATAAGCAAAACTTAGAATATTAAATTGATTTTTTTTGTAAAAACTGTACAGTTTTCCAGTTTAGTACTTTATCTACTCAAATTTAATTGAAATTTTATTAAAGAAGACCAGCTCAGTATAATATATATTAAATTAATGCAATTATCTATAATACACTTGTTAATATCTGTCCTAACATATATGGGTATGTATATGTGAGTGTATAGTAAGTTAAATATTATTATTTCATTATTATTATCTTCCATGAACCGAAGTATTCACTTTAATTTGGTGAGGACGATGTGATTATGTTACAATTAATATTATCTCTAAGGACATACATAATTGATTAAAGACATCAGTTTAAAAACCATTATTTGTATTTATAATGTATTAACATAAAATTTAAGACATTGTTATTTAGGTCAAGGATGCAACCTAATATCGAAATCTTATTAGGTTATTATTTCACTTATTTTTTTATTAGGAAACGTATTGATGGCACAGCAGAAACATAAGTAATGAATAAAATAAATTAATAATAAATAATATTGCATTCAATCAACTTAAGTTTCTATCTTATACAAAAATAACACATCCTAAAAAATAAACTATAATATAGTATATAAAAAGAATTTTTAATTTTAGATTTAAAATTAAATGAGCATATATATAAGGTCAATTTACTATTATGGAAGCTTGAATGACGATTAAAAATATTTTATGTGTTGATTATTCTATAATAATGCGAGAAAATAATTCAATTTTAAATAATAAAATAGAAAATAAATTATAAAAATTTATATAAAATATAAACAGCGATAAAACAATATATTTTATGCTTCCATCTTCGAAAAATAGTAAGTTCTTATAGTAACTATAATTTATTTAAAATAATTTAATATTTAAAAATATTTAATTTTAAAACTATTTTTCTAGTCCAATGATTACAACTCAATTAAATATTTAAATATTAAATAAATAATAATATAAAAATAAATGCTGCATTATAATTTTCTTGAAATTGTGTTAATAGGATTAAGGATTAGATGTAATTAGT